TTCTAAGCGAGCTCGGAGCAAGGTTCCAGAAGCAATGGGACTGTTGAGCAGAGAAAAGGGGGCTTGAGAGATGGGAAGTTACTGAGTGATCGAGTGCGTGAGTGAATGAGTGAGCAAGCAACTCGTGATACCATTCCTCACGCTGAGGCTTGGCCCTGTATCCTGAGCCTTGTCACAGCTGTAACGTTAACTTGAACTCCCATCCATCGACTGTTTTAATATCATCGTATCCACTTGCACGGTATCACCGATAACTTCTTCCCCATACCATATCTTATTCCAAAACAGAGCTAGACCCAGAAGCCGTTACCGCTGAAGAGAAACGAAGTGGTCAAACCTCCCTCCCTACCCCCTCCCCTTCAGCCCTGTAAACTCGACTTTAACGCGCGGCCATCCATCCCGCGGAGAAAAAAGAAACATGCCGAAAAGCTTTGTCGTCAAGTATCCCTACGTCTGGCTGTGCTGCGGCTTCGCTGCCCTTGGAGCCTGTCTGTACGGTTACGAGGGCGTATACTTTACCGGAGTTTCGACTCTCGGTATGTCTCTTTCAGTCGTAGAAAGTATTCCTCGTATAGCTGAGCTGACTGTCAAGATGTCTTTGTTCGCGACTTTGGAACGCGGGGTGACGATGGCGAATTCCACATCTCGCCCCAGAACCTAGCTGTCATGACGAGCATGATCAATGTGGGCGAGTTAGTGGGATCGTTGTTAGCAGCGCCGTTGAACGATCTATTCGGCCGAAAGGGCTCGCTCTTCACCGGCTCCGTTGCCGTGGTTGTTGGTGTTGTAATGCAGCTATCGACGACTTCGAGCCGTGCTCTTATCACCGCCGGTAGAGCCGTGTCCGGGTTTGGGGTGGGAACCTTTTCCGTAACTTCGCCTCTGTACATGGGAGTAAGTTTTTAAATTCTCCGATTGATCATGTACGATTGGCCTTAGTTATTGATCGTTTGGCTACTTGTAGGAAATAGCGCCCGAGTCTCTGAGAAGTCCCCTTCTCATGTGCTGGCAGCTCGTTTTGTCTGTCTCACAGATCATTGCTGCTGGTATCAACAGGAGTGTGATCCACAACGACACGAGTTTTGCATACCGATTTCCAATTGGATTTCAACTCATCTTCCCATTGATTCTATTTCTTGGAATTGCATGGCTTCCGGAATCGCCGCGCTGGTTGCTCCGCCGTGGGCATCATGACAAAGCGATGCGATCTCTCCGCTTACTTCACCACGAAGACAAGCACTACGACGCTAAACCCGTGATGCAGAATATCGAAGAAGATCTCGAAAAAGAAAGTTCTAGTGAAGTTGAAAGCGCATGGATTCAACTAATCACAGATCCAATTGAACGTCGCAAAGTGATCTACAGCGCCGGCGCCCTGATCGCCCAGCAGATCAACGGCATCCAATGGTTCTACTACTTTGGCACCATCTTCTCCAAAGCAATTGGACTCAAAGATCCATTTCTTATGACCCTTATCGTGTTCATCATTCAGGTCTTTGTCGTTCTTGCGGCGGTGTTGCTGGCTAACAAGATTCCGCGACGACCTCTCTTGCTCATCACCACTGGGATCATGACTGTGTCTATCTTTGTCGTTGGGTGCTTGGGTATCCCTGGAGGAACTCCGAGCGAAACTGTTGGGAAGGTAATCATCAGTTTTGTGATTATTGAGATTGTAGCATTCAACTTTGCCTGGGGTCCTCTTGGCTGGACTATTGTAAGTGTTTCACCCTGTCACCAGAGCTTCCTTCTAATACATTCTACTTAGGCTTCTGAAATGGCTGTTGGGAGAAACCGAAACAAAATCTACGCCGTCGCAGTCGCTTCTTTCTGGGTCACGGTCTGGGCTACAGTCTTCACCCTACCCTACCTCTACTACTCCGCCAACCTCGGTCCCAAGACAGGCTTCGTGTATACAGGTCTATGCTTCGTCACGTTGTCCTATGTATACTTCTGCGTCGGCGAAGTTACGGGCCGCAGTATGGAGGAGATAAACGGCTTCTTCCGAGACGGTATCCCTGCACGGCATTGGAAGAAGCAACCGTTCGTTGAAGCCCAGAGAGGTCATGAGGTCAACCTCGTTGAGGTACAGGGACACGAAAAGACAGCGAATCGCTGAAATAAAGTATGAATTATGCGTCTATGAGATCTATACCCGCTTTTGTCTATATGCTGGTCATGAATATAACTTCTCGAAACGTTTCTGTGCTGTCTTATGGTCGACTGTGCCAATACCCCCCATAGCTTCGATTGTAATATATCGTTTTCGTGACTACAGTCTCTTTCCCATTGTGAACAACCCTCCTTGGCACTTCAATGTATCCTGAATGAGATTGCTTGCGAGACCATGTCTTATCTCCACGTCTATGTCTTGAGCGTGCTGTAGGTTGCTGAATATCGGGACTTGGTAGTCGCGGCAAAGGCTGCGCCATGCCAAAAAGAGGTTCCAAAGGTTCAGGCTCATAAGCCAAGGTTGTGTCTGGTGTTGCTCGTCCATAACCCATGCTGTCTCTAGTGAAGCGATCCGTGAAGCCCACGCTTCCCATCCATGTTTCTTGTCGCCCCATGGTCGAGTATGGCGATGGTGAATGTGTGTTATTTTGAGTTTGTCTATTATAATTGGATGCTGTTATAGGATTTGAAGGCCTATCAGTGTATGACGGAGTGTAGGACCCTTGTTGAGTTAACGAGGTTGGGGCTACCGTCTGCATTGTTCGCTGAGAGTGCTGATGTTGGTATTGCGGAACTGAGGTATAGTTGTGCGTGACCCGTTCCATATCACGAGACGTTGCGCCTGATAAATAATATTGAGATTGAATTTCAGTATTTCTTTTCGTGCTTGCTTCTTGAACAAGAATGTAGAGGTGATTGTTATACATCTATATATGAGCGATTCTGCTCATATGTTCTGCAATCCTACTACCTTCAACAACGCCACAGTTTCTTTCTTTAGACTGTTCCTGAGACATGAAACAAACACCAAGCTAACAGCTTCAATTGTAAGAGTTCAGATCCCTGTCTCAGCAATGAGCCGCTTCTTTGTTCTTTGTTCTCTTGGCAGGGGTACCAACGGTTTACCGGTGCTGAGGTTGAAGATACCCAAAATAGGTACGGAAACGCCGCCATAACAAAGGAAGGCTTTTTTCGTGCTTTTGACGTTGTGACATATTCATTGTCCATCACTGCTGGCAGTGCTTGAGATGCATCATTCCTCATGGCCACGTAGCTATGGACTATGCACGCTGCTATTTCTCTGCGTTGATAGCCTTTCAGGCCGTGAAGTGTAAATAGTTCAAAAGCAGTTGATAATCCAATGGGAGCACCTTTCGAGGTCTATATGGCTTGTTTGTAGGGTGTGGCGCTCCACATTGCGGCTGCGACTTCAACTGTAAGACGGATGTATTTTCTTTCAATCCGACAACTCTATCACATTCTATGCTTAGCCTTTTTGAAGCCTTATTAAATTTGCCAGGAACTGAGGTTCTAAAAACTAAACAAGCCTGTACCTAAAGTAGGCGCACAAGATTACTTGTACAGCGATTGACCTTATTACCGAAGCCTCATGCTTCATGTTGCAAATTAAGGCGCCATCGTGAACACTCATGCATCATCACTTATCTGTATGACTCGAAGACATGAAATGAATAGCGTGAATTGAGGGGGGGGGGGTCAATGTTGGAGGGACTCTCCTTATAACGTTCTTAGATCGCCCCCTTTCTCCTTGTCTCTTGGGAACCCAAACATGTCAGCCTAAACAGAACAAGATATCACGATGCACCTCTTACTACTAATTTATACCCTGATCGGTGTGGCAATTGCCCAAAATGTATTCACTACAGGAACATGTGTGACTCAGCGAGGATGCGGTCCCTTCCCTACAGCTTCTCCTACACCGCCCACTACGATATCGAACACCATTCAACTAACGCTAAACCGCACCGTAACCATCTGTCCTACAGAGACAGTCTCTGTTTTCGGTACTACCTCAGCCGTATCTGTAACTCGGACTGTCAACTCGACTGTAGTCTCTACTCTGCGTGTCACCGCGACGTCCACTGTCACGATCAATGGTGAGCCAAAAGCCCCCTCAAGAGGACTATGATTCTGACAACGTGTAGCTACCACCACCGACACAGAAGAAGCCACTACTACTGTCACGTCAACAAGCACCATGACATTGACAGCTACCATTCGACGCACCTCAACTATTCCTGCTACATCAGGCTTCGTCCCCATCGCCTCCGAACCAGGCTACGTTCCTCGACGCCGCAACAAACGTGGCGGTGACAAGTTAGTACCGACTGCTAAACCGGACCTGGAAAAGAGATGCTGGCCAGATATCCGAGATGTTGTCTGCAACACTACCATCTTCACGCTGACCACTCAAACCGTTACACCAGCTGGATGTCGTCCGCCGTTCCCTACTATAACTGTGACCCAGAGCGTAAGTGTGTTCACTGTCACTACGACAGTTACTACTACCGTTGCTAGTACGAGGACTGAGCGTACAACTGTGATGGCGACCGTGGAGAATGTCATTACTGCGACGACTACCTCGACTTGGACTTGGACCACGAGGCCTATTGATCGGAATACGACATTCTTTGCGACCACCACTCTAGCTACTGCGACGACATATGCTGCATGTCAAGCGAATAATCTCATCAATTCAGCCAACGAAGGACATTTCATCTGGAACATCAACTACGGCGGTTCACAGAACCAGATCCAAGTGGGAATTCCAGCACGGAATGCTTATGAATGCTGTGTAGCATGCCATCAAACCCGAAACTGCATCTGGTCCAACTTCCCCGGCGGCTGCGAATTGGTAATTGCAAACTCCTGCAATCCCAACAGCAACTTCAATTCATCATTCATCACTTCACCGGATGTCAGGAGGGGAACGACGATTAGTAACGGTCCTTGTGGATTTATTGCCAATGGGGGAGATGTCCCCCTGGTTTAGATTTCGAGTAGAGTATATATACTTGGGTCACCCCCATTTAAACATTTTCCTCCTTGTGCTCAGTCACAGAGGATCTGGCACCAGTCTTGACCATATCGTCCTGCTCGCTTGGAGCGCGATCGTGAACGTAGCCAAACATAACATCCATCTCTTCGAGGGTCTTACCCTTTGTCTCGGGGAGAAAGAAGAAGGCCCAGACGGTGGCTGTGATCATCCAGCATGCGAAGAAGAACCATGTTCCGTAGCCGAAGGACTTGAAGATGTAGGGGAGAGCCTTGGTGATGGCGAATTGGGTGAGCCTGTAGCTGTTAGTTATCGATCTTTAGGAGGAGTGTATAGACGACTTACCATTGAACACAGGCTGCATATGTACCTGTCAAGGTTCGGAGAGCACCAGGGAAGATCTCAGCTGAGACGATCCAGGGGATACCGTTGAGACCAAAGGACCAGCTATAAGAGTCAGCATATTGCATCGATCATACCGAAGAGGAGGACTTACAAGACAGAGTAGATCATGATCATAGCGGTAGCAGCCTTACCACCAGCGGCAGTCGAAGGAGAAAGCTCCTTGCCCTCAGCAATGATAGTAGCGGGATGTCCAATCTTGACATAAGCTCCGACGATCCAGAGACAGACAGAGCACATGGCAGATGAGATGATGGTAGGGTTACGTCGTCCCCACATGTCAATGAGAGCACCATAGAAGATGATAGATGCGACGGCTGCAAAGAGTCAGCAAGGGCTTAGTACCGGATGAAGTTGAACATACCCTTGACAAGACCATAGATACCAGTGTAGAGGGCAACATCGCTAATACCGAGAGAACCGAAAAGAGTGGGTGAGTAATAGTTGATAGCTATTAATAGTTAGCAGTGTTGTGTAGAATGTGGTGGTCATCTTACCAGCAGCACCAGACATGTTCTGCAGAGCAAAAGAGCAGAAAACAAGCAGAACACGGTTTCGCATTCCCTTGCGGGTAAGTTCAGATACAGCACCTCGGAAAAGAGCCCAGGGTCCGGTACCGAACCTGCTAGCAACGAAGGCTTCATCCGCAAGACGCTTTCGGATCATATCAAGATCCTCCTGAAGATCTATCTCAACATTAGCACCAAGGTCTTCCCCAAGGCGAATAAAACTTACACTTGTGATCACGAGGAATCTGTCGCAGACTCTCAAGCGCCTTGGTAGCATCCTCCTCACGATTCTTGCGCATCAACCACAACGGACTCTCATGAAGGAAGAAGCCACCAATGAAGAGGATAGCAGCAGGGGCGATCTGAACAGCCATGGGGACTCGCCATGCTGCAGCGGAGGAAGGGTTCATGTTCTGGTTGATGCCATAGTTGATCCAGAAGCCGATCAGAGAACCGGTTTGGTATGTGACTTCGAAGAGACCGGTAAGAATACCGCGGATGGAGACGATGGAGAGCTCAGCGATGTAGCTGGGGACTGTGGCGGTGATGGCACCGCATGCGATACCGGTGAGAGCGCGGCCGGCGTCTGAAGATGTTAGAAAGAGACTGAGATGGGTTGAAGAGTGACTTACAGATATAAGACAATTGATGAGTGGCAGCAGTCATGAGAATAGCACCGATGAGGAACACAACAACGTTGGCCTGGAGAGCCCACTTGCGACCAATCTTCTCAGTAACTTCAAATGTGTCAGCAATTGCCCGTAGTCCAGGAGATGGAAAACATACTCAAAAAGCAAATGATTGCACCGAAGAAAGCTCCAGCTTGGAAGGTAGCAGTGATGTTACTCGAGATATCAGCCGAGTCCTCGGGCTTGATGTTGAAGTCACGCTTGAAGCTATCGCGAGCAATGGTGGTGCCGATAAAAGCAGAGTCATAACCGAACCTATAATTGTCAATACTCAGTCAGACTTCTCGTTTCAGTGAGTAAACTTACAGCAGTGATCCCGTAGCAATAACGGCAGCCTCAGTGTACAATCGCCAATTGTACACCTCCTTTGGCGTAGGCCTATCTTCCACAGCGCGAAAGCCACCCATGTTGTCTAATCTTGATCTTCTTAAGTTTACTTGGGTTGTAAAGTCAAGTCGCAATGAAAGGTAATGTGCATGTAAATCCTTCATCCCCCACAGGAAGGCCCCCTCGGATATATAGCTTATCCCATCGTCAATCCGGGGGGCGTGGGGAAAGCAGAATAATAATCCGGGGATGGGTGTGGAGAAGACGAGGGTGAGGTCATTCCAACTCGTTTCGCATGAGGAATAAAGAAGTGACAGGGGTTGTAGTAGTTCATCATGAGTCAGTTGAGATTTTGTTTGGAGAAGCATCCGACACGCGAGCCGATGCGACGGCGAGAGGCGATTGGTCCCTTGGTCATGCGGGGATGCTTGGCTAACAAGATTGGTAATTTAGGCGAAGGATGTACCGAATTTTCCAAGGCATCATATGACCTTGTTCCATGTTTGAGCGAAAACTAATGCCGGAATAGATTCATTATCAGTCAGAGAATGGTTCTTAGCTGAATTGACCATGGCCTGATGGTTGACAACCGGCTCACAGCTCGGTTCATAGCGGAATGTTCATGATGAACACTAGACTAACATTCCGACCCTTTGATCCGGAACAGGATCCGGTAGTGAGAATAGGCAGAAGAAAATAAGAGCCGAAGAGCATCATGTGTGTATGAGATAGTTGAATTCGCGAAATATCAAGTCTCAATGACACCAAGACTCGCAATTGCCATGGCAATGTTCTGTTTGTATACCGTGCCTATTGTTGTGGGGTCCAGAAGGCTACTAGATGTAGTAGAGTATGAGATCTGATGGTATACTATTGAAACTTCATATGAAAATGTACTTGAATATTCTTGAATTCTTGCTTTTATATGTCCTTTACGTATATCGCATTACATCATTTCTAAAGCATTCTCTAGATATTCTCTGCCCTCTTGCCAAGAACCTTCTCAACAGCTGACAGAGGCTCAACAACCTTGTAAATCCACTCCTGCTTACTCTCATCGCTATACTTGGGATAAGGCCGTCTGCAATGGCAGCTCTCGAGAGGATATCCTCGGAGCTTAGCGACAACCCACTTGGTACCGTTGATACCGCCCTTGGCAAATCCCCATTCCATCTTTGCCAACTCAAGCTGTGCAGCCTCAGCCTCCTTTGTCTTACCAGCCTTGTACAGATCGTAGATCTGCAGACAGGCCTTGGGATACAAGTTCGCCACACCGGTGATGGTGCCTGTGCCTCCGACAGAGAGAGCGGGAACGAGCCAGTCGCTCTGTCCAGCAAGAGCAAAGAACTCCTCGGGCTTAAACTGAGCTGCTATGCGAGCAACCTTTGCGATGCCACCACATGTCAACTTCACGCCGACAATGTTGGGGTGCTGACCCAGGCGCTCGAGCATCTCTGAGTTGACGTCAAGGCCAGCGACAACACCAGGGAAGTTGTAGATGACGACGGGAACAGGGCTCGCCTCGGCTAGCTCTTCGAAGAAAGCCACGATGGCATCTTGTGTCATGGCAAAGTGGAAGTAGCTGGGAGTGAGAACGAGGACAAAGTCGGCGCCAGCTTCCTTGGCGAGCTTTGTCTCATTGATGGCATCTCGTGTAGTTTGTGATGAAGTGCCCAATGTGATTGTGATATCGGGACGGCCAAGGGAGACTGCGATCTCTCGAGTGGTTCGGACGAGCTGTGACTTTTCGGCGGCTGAGAGTGTGACGGCCTCTCCGTTTGTTCCAGCAATAACGACTGCAGTTTGTTAATTTGGTTCATGTGATTCATTCGTCTGAACATACTTCCGTCAAGGCCAGAGCTTATCAAGAACTCGATGTGCTTCTTCTGAACATCCCAGTCGATCTCTTGGTTGGCATCATTGGCAAACCAAGTCAGAGAGGGAACGTGAATTCCGCCAGGGAATGACTTGCTCGTTGTCGCGATTGAGCCCATTGTGAATAATTGAGATTAGATGTTGGGATACTGCTGGTTCAGGTCACAAGATGTTGGAATGAAGAATGAAGAACAAGATCAGAGCAAAGATGATCAATCGTCTCAAGAACAATGGAGAGGGTTTTGTTCCACACTCCGGTATTGTGGGGATATTCGTTCTGTCCCCATCGGATCCATGGGTATCATGCCACGTCCCATGCGGGGATCGATGCAGTTCATGACCATGATGGTTTGTCGGTTCGTCCAAGTGCTAAGACCCATCCCCAGCCTCATCCACTTTAGCATCATGCGGGGAAGTTGGAGACAGCCACATCCGATCGGCTCGACGAGTGTGGGTGGGGCATCGAGCCGAGCGTCAACTCGAACTGTTGAAGAACAAGAGAAGAGAAGCTCTCCATGCCAAGTCGCATGATATTAGTGGCATGAGCCATGGAAACTAGTTTGTCCCGATCTGTCGGATGCATATGCGAAGCTAACTAAATGATAGGGAGTTGCAGAACGGTTGGTGAGCAACCATTGGTGGTAATTCATTGGCGATGTTCCGTCCTCGTCCAAAAAGCAAGCCGTTAGAAGCCGACCATGTCTCAAATAACTCAGACAATGGCAAAGCATGAGTTGAAAACGGCATGCATCACGGCCCGGATATCCATTCGTGTCTTGGCAGCATCTTGTCGAGCTTGAACCTCTTCCAATACTTGCGCCGTGATGCGCGCGTTGCCAGCAACCTTTTCCATTCTGAGAATTTGAGTCTTTATCCACGCCTTCTCGTTGGCGTCTTGCTCTTCAACCCCTAACATCAGCAGCGGCCATAGCATATTGACGGGAAGAGTATCCTCAGGGTCTAAGTCCGCCACAATTTGTCTAGCGAGATTTCGAATCTGGTCTAATGCCTCAGACGCCTCCTTCGTCAGGGGAAGATTCTTGTAGGCAACGCGGTGAAGGTGGACTTTGCTAGCGTAATAGTTCGAGAGGTACGTTCGAAATGCTCGCGTGATAACAAAAGCTAGATGCTTCGAGACATGAGGCTCCTTGAGCTTGCCTGCCACAGCAAAGTCCATCAACGGTGGACGGTGTTCGTATAGAGTTCGCAAATCCGCCGCTATGACTGTACCGATGTTCATGACTTCGATTTCGTCTTCGACCGTCCCTCGAGAACGATGCCAGGGGTCTATCTTTGATATCCTCCCCATGAAGCTTTGGACTTTTTGGTAGAACACAACGCCAGGCTGATACAGCACTTGAAACAATACGTCCTCTATGTCATCAGTGGGATCTTTGGGAACTTCTTCAAGCTCACCATCGAAACTCGCGGGCGATGCTTCTACCAAAAGAACTTCGTCGTCTTTGGTGAGGAAAAGACCAGAGCCACCAGCCGTTACCGCCCGACCATCGAGAAGTCGAATCCAAAGAAGCAGCTGCTTTTCTACTGCTGTCAGGCCGTGCTTATTACTACTTTGGAAGAGCATATATGCACGCTTGAGATTTGAGTGCGCAGCATCGAGACGACTCTCCAAGATATCGATATAGCTGAGAAAGAATAATGCTGCGAGAAGGTATTCGCGTGCAGGGCTGTGTTCCGACATTGGAGTGCCATCATGACTCGCGACCTCAGTAACGCCTCGCTGATAGTGATCCTCGTCGCTCATAGTCCAATTTCCATCGCGTCGAGAAAGAAGTAAATTCGAGAAGGCCATGATCGCGTGTCGTACCATGGGAGAAATGCTTGCCATTTCGACTACAGCTTGTCGCATGGACACCCACTTCTTCTGAGTCTCGACTTCAGCGATAATAGGGGGGTTGACGGAGCTTGCGAAGAATTCCATCAACTTAGTACTCCCATCCGTAGTTTCTTGGTCCCGACTACCATTGCTCTGTGTCAGTGAGGGCGCTGAAAGTGGTGTCGTAAATGCTGTCCTGTCTGGGAATGTGATCTGCGATTGAGCCGCCTTTTCGTGTCAGTACCGCCCGCATGAATGTAGTCAATAGTTCCATCTTACCAACATATTTGTTTCCAGCCCCTGGTTCTGATGTGTCTCTGGCGAAGCGTTTTGCCAAAAATCACCGTAGTCCCACATGAAACTTGCGTAGTCGAAAACTTCATCAACTGCGTTTCCTGGTTGGAATACTGAGCTCCCCGGTGATGTGTCGAAATTTGGTGATAAGTGCTGCTCGATAGATTGATCAGGTATTTCTGTGGAAGGCGCTTGTCTCCTTTGAACTCCCGATCGTTGCTGGGGTCGCCATTTGCACTCCATATTCAGTCTCTCGCAATGAGAGCATCGTGGTCTTTGCTCATCACATTTGACTTTTCTCCTCCTTCGAGTTGATTAGATGCCGCGTCTGTTGACGTTTGGTTTATACATACTTGCATGTTAAACAACCCTCGCGTGAGCGGATCTGTCGTCGCGCCGAGGTCGCAGGTCTTGTATTTGATGGGCTGTGGTTTTGAGGAGATACACCGCTTGGAAGGCGAGGAATGAGAGGCCGTCCACTGTTCATGTCCATTATAACGTCTCGCTGCTGAAGTTATAAACGGTCGGTGTTGCTATAATGGCTGATCAGGTCAATTAAAGTTGATGTATAATGCAAGATGAGGAACCTAAATCCGTCACCTGACGCGGAAGAGCTCCGTTTGCGTTTACATTTGCATTTGCGGGGCGCCTTCCAGAAGATCAGGAACCCGCGTCTACATCTGGGGTAATAAAAAGAAGGTGCTCTTCAAGTACGTCTTCTCCAAGAATAAAAGGCTAATAGTTAAGCTGATATCAAAATGACGAGATGGAGTTATTACATCAATAAATTACAACTTATGAATGATCTCTCCGCATATTTTGAACCAATTCCCCCCTCTTTCACATCAAGTGACAAGTTTGATGACAGTGGGTGGATCGGCTAAGTCAATTCTGACACCCTTGGCGGGTGAGGCCCGAACTGTCGGGACAGACCAACGGTAGACTTGATATCTCTGGGCTCAGAAACGGATTGATTATAGAAAAGGATTCTGGTAATATTAACAATCACTAGTGGAATATTCAATTTTACTGACAGTTCTATCAAATCACACAGAATGATAACACCAACTAAGTATTAGTTTTTGACCACTACTGAATGACATGTCTACATGGAGCAGCTTGACTTACACCGAGCTCAACGAAACCCAATAACAACCTTTGCGAGTCGTTCTTTCTGTTGCACAAACACAACAGCGATGGATTCAAAATCTCACACATGATTCTATAACTCAATGTGCATCCATATGACGTCAGGCTTCATGTGGACGGTTAAAATCACTTGACCTTTTCGTTTCGCTGTAACTTCATCTTCTTAACTCCAACACCTATTTATCCTCATATATCAAGACAACCCTCTATTTCTAACAACCTACTCTAACAAAGATCGAAACACCTCAAGTCGTTCGTCATGCCTACTCAAGAAGTGCTTAACCAGTGGGAAGCTTCTTCCCCAACTACCAGAAGCGAAGGCCCCCTTCAAGGCACATCAAACCGTTCGTCTCCTTCAACGTCACCTTGAGTCATTCAACTAACATCATACTTCTCAAGCTCCTCAGTCCCTGGTTTCTAAACACGAGTGCTTTGCCGCGCGACCCAACGCAGAAGTATGCCCGACTTGTAACGATGGACGTCTTGCGCTCGATCAGGTATTGCATCCCAAAAGCTTCCAGACGAAAGACTAAAGGGCTTCAACAGGATCGCGTTCGCAATAGTGGTGCTCGTACGCCCGGCTCTATCCACGCCGACATCGTCGCACAGATAGAAGCGAAGCGAGAGCGAAAGGCCTCGGAAGAAGCAGAGAAGGACAAGAAGAAAGCCGAGGTTGAGGAGAAGTCAGCATAGAAATACTTTTGCGTTGCATATTTCTCGGCGCCATGTTTGCTATCGAAAAAGGACTTGGTAGCGCGGGTCTATGATCCTCTTGGTGGTTGATCATGGGTAAGAAACGGAGTCCTGTCTCGTTCGTAAAACGTTGCTCGGAATAGGCTTCTTTCGTCATTTTCAATTTGATCTCTATCTCTGGTGTCATCTGATCACAAACAGCCCTTAAACATGTTCGTGTTGACTAAAAATAAGGGAAACTCAGAGAAGGACAGAAACAGAAGCTTGGGAGTTTGCCAGTACCCCAACTTGAAAGCAGCAATCGGATATCATCTTAGAAAATTGGTATATGTTTTCTATTATATCTTTTGTACGTCTAAACATCTATCATCATATCAACAAAATGCGTCCCTGCTTGCCCCCTCTAATGACCCTGAGACAGGTTCACAACAGCCCATTTTCCGTTCCACGCCCACTTTCGAGCACCAGAATCACCACCGCCACCCTCAAGTTGCTTCAACTCCTCATCCTTGCCCTCCGGAAGACCAACGACAACATCGGCCTTGCATGTCCGCAAGGATAAGACGTTGACGCCTGACGAGGGACCCATGGGGCCGAGGGCCTCGATAAAAGGTGTGGTGGCGGGCCAAGCAGCCTGTCACAAGTCAGCGTTGGTTTCAAACAAGATGGAGGTTACTTACATCAGCGACGAGCTTGCGGTAGTTCAGGTCGCCCTTGAAGATGACAAGCTCGGCTTCCTTGAGCTCCTCGTGCAACTCAGGGTTCTCAGCGGGTAATCGCCAGAAGCTACCGCCATAAGTCCAGTATCGGTTAGGGCGGAGCATAAGCTGTCCCTCAGCATGGAACGTAGCCCACTCCTGGAATAGGAACTTAAGGTCCTTCTCGCCCTCCTCAGATAGGGGCTCAGGCTTCTTGCCCTGAAGTTCCTCATCCTCTGATGGCGTATCATAGAGAGCGCGGGGGTTGGCAACAGCGTTCAATAAGCCGCTAAAGTCGCTAGGGACAACGTCGGAGACGAACCAGGGGATGGACTTGGGTCGTAGGACGACTTGTGTGGCGAGGCCAGCTGAGAGAAGGTAACCGGCCAGAATCATATCGACATACAACTCAAAGCCAGCATTATCGAGGACGATATCAACGCGGCGCTCCTTCTTGCCCTCAGCCTGCGCTTTCTTGAGGATATCAAACGCCTTAGGGAGGTCGTTGACGAGGATGTTCTTCTCGGCCGCCTTACGAGCCTCAGAACCCTGGAGTTTCTGGATATCCTCATAGGTCAAGTTTGTGAGTAGTGACAAGTCTGTAGCGTTTCCCCACAGGCAAATCTCGAACATCTCCTGGAACAGAGTCTTCTCAGCCTTAGGATCATGCGTTGAGTCCTTATCAGCGCGAAGCTGCTCGACTAATTGTCTATAGTTGCTAGCGAGCTCGAGAACGGCGGGTCTTGATGATCGGAAGGTGTCCATCTTCTGTCGGGCGAAAAGATCGTAGGATCTCCAGTGTTCGGTCATGCGGAATATGGCCGCGATGCGTCTGAATTTTGTGAGCGGCGCACGCAGATAGCCATTGTCGCATGGACTTACCTGTACAGGTAGCATTCGGAGAACAACCATGGCACATCGTACCAGTGAGCATCGGGGCCAAGAGCCTCGAGCTCCTTGTTATATGTCTCGATCTCTTCCGTGAATCCATCGTCGGGGAGGGGACTACACAGTCAGCCGTGGTGTTCTTCTGTGCGCGATATAAGAATATCGTACCTGAGCTTTCGGTCATGCTCGACCTCGTACTTGAGATTGGCGAGTTGCTCGATAATCTTCTTGCCCTCCGCTAGTTTCTCGGGGTCGCTGGTCTTGGTAACGGCGCGGTAGACATCGTCAATTCCCTGGGTCTGATTCACAGTTATAGAGTGCCTCGTGAGCGACACATCCAGACGTCTTACCAGAATGACAGGCCATCGCCTCTTGACGGATTCACTCGCGAACGAGGTAGGATCGCTCGTTTTGTATTGGGCTGCCGGCGGAGTCAGTCGTGTTCGAAGGGAGAGTCGAGAAGCACATACGGGTCTTGGTATCGTGCTCCATTCTGCTATCTTTCTCGCCACCGAGATATGAAGAGAACAGAGAATAGTTTTTCTGCTGATCGATCCCGGAGATCTTCAGAGAGCAATTATTTAAAGGTCTAGTCCGCCATCATGGAAGCGGAGGGGTACGCGGGGCACTTTTTTTGGTGGGGTTCAACAGGAACAGTCTCGAATCTGACGTCAGGAACAATTTTGAATGCCGAGCTGGTCGGAAAACACCATGAGAGGCTAGACCTGACTACTGAGGCTTGGAGGAGCTGTCTAATTGCCTGATTAGGAAATAAAACCATGAATAATTAGCTGAAGAAATTGTGAGATGACTGATTGTTATCACTGTCCAAGTCAGTCACAAATGATAATCCATTCTGTCATGATAAGAACGATTGCCGACTTAGCCAGTTCGTCTATCTCTCCACAGGTCCTTCGGTTCGTTATGAGTAACATGAGACTCGACATACCTAGTATACTTTAGACTATCCATGAGTATGTTTCGAACCCGCATGCCTCCCTTTCCTGTAATTTGCCTCTCTGACTCGCTCCAAGCTAGCCTGAGCAACGATTGAAACATTCGATTATTTGATCGGCTGATACTCTTAGTAAAGTGTCTCGAGCCCGAGATCTCTCTTTCTCACCTGGTAGCTTCGTCTTCACCTCTTCTCTAGCCTATGCCTCTGTTGATCATAACGATCGCCACCAGGGTCCCAAGAATGTAATCTTTCGGTATATGTTCCGCACTTCAGCTTTAATGTCGGCCCGAATATCATCAGCTGCATGTTTCTGTTTACCCAAGATCCGCACCACTCAACCAGCACGTTCATCCCGACTGCCCTGCCCACATCTCAATTAAGAAGAAACATACCAGGTAGTGGCAGTTCATCCGACCTGAGAGAAGAACGCATTGAATCGTCTGTTTCAACAAGGTTGTTTGAGTTTACATCATGTTTGGTCCGCTTATGAAAGGGTCACCAACCCGTTTCGCCAATCCTCAACCCAGTCTGGAAATGACAGCTACACCTCCGATTGGCCCGCAAGTTCAATCATCAACCTCACTTTGGTCAATTCATCGAACGACTCCAAATACGCGACGCAGAGGAAGGTAGTACTCGGCTTGATCCTCGGTGGATCACCAGCGCTGAAGCGGTAAAAAGAAGTGCATTTTTCCATCTGGGGAAAACGGGAGCTGGCGATGAGCCGCACCAATTAGTACGAGTTGGACGTCGTGTGATTTGTTGATCAATTCCGATCTGAGACTTTCCCCAGACTTGTTTTTGTGGAGGCATCGACTTATACGACTTTAACCAGCGGTTGTCTTATTAGCCGGCAGCTCAAGCATCATGAAGTGCCGTGACGGAATAAGACGATCATGAACAAGGGTTAATTGTATATAAGAATCATGTTTCCAATCCCTTTCCAGTTGATATCTTGTATATACTCAACAACAGCTTCAGTGTCTTTACAATGTTCTTCAATTCTCAATCTCTCGGTGTCGTGGCCCTCGCCGGATTAGCCACGGCCGTCCCTTCACGAAACCATCTTCAAACTCGTGAAGTTGGCAAGCTTCCTGCTCTTGGCTGGAACGGCTGGGTGAGTTCCTCTCGGGTATATCATTCCATCTGTTCGTCACTAACAGTACCTCCAGAACCAAGGACAATGCAACGCAGCTAGTGAGAAAGTTGCCCTTGCTACAGCCAAGACCTTCATCAGTCTGGGTCTCAAGGATGCCGGATACCAATACGTCAACATTGATGACTGCTGGTCTACAAAGCAGCGAGATTCCAAGGGCAACCTCGTCCCTGACCCAGCAAAGTGGCCAAGAGGTATCAAGCCAGTAGCCGATGAGATTCACGCAATGGGTCTCAAGTTCGGTCTTTATGGTGATGGTGGAGTCAAGACTTGCGCAGGTTATCCAGGAAGTCAAGGTCACGAGCAGCAAGACGCAAATCTGCTTGCCAGCTGGGGTGTCGACTACTGGAAGTACGACAACTGTTACACACCCTGCAACACAGGCAACGCCGCCGATATTCAGACATGCCCCAACAACCAGGCTCCTAGCTCTAAGCCTCGGTATGAGAAAATGAGGGATCTCCTTCGGGCTACAGGAAGGGATATCCTCTATTCGCTCTGCAACTGGGGTTATGATGAGGTTTGGACTTGGGGTGCTCAGGTTGGACACATGTGGCGAATGAGCCAGGACAACTGGGGCAAATGGGCGGATGTTGTCCGTATTGCTAACCAGGCGGCACCTATCCTGAAGTACACTGTACCAGGCCACTACAACGATCTCGATATGATGGTGAGTCTTGACCCTACCTTGACCTTTATTGAGGATGAGGCTGACCAAAACCTAGATCCTTGCCAACGGTGCTCTTACTCCTGCTGAGGAGCGCACTCACTTTGCTATCTGGTGTATCACCAAGTCCCCTATCATTCTCGGAACAGACATGACCAAGCTTAACAGCGATGAGGTCAAGTTGATCACAAATAAGGTACCTATAACCACTTCCTCAGCCGATGAAAACACATACTAACTATTCTTCAGGGCCTTCTCGCTGTCAACCAAGACTCGCTCTCCAAGCCTGCTGTGCCTTTCACTCCTCCCAACACACCCACCAAGGGAAGCGGCGAGATCTACCCTTACTGGTCCGGCCCCATCTCAACCGGAACAGTTGTCGCCATCGTCGCCAGCAAGGGCAACTTGAACACTCAGCTGAACCTCAAGGACGTTCCAGGACTGAAGGATATGGAGTACTCGTGGACTGAGCTTCTGACCGGTGCTAAAGGAAAGGGCAAGACTGTCTCGGCCAACTTGCAGACACACGATGTTGCGGTCTTCCGCATTGACCACAACTAAACCAATGGGTTTGAGACTTTTTGAAGAGTATATATTTTGAAACTGTATCTACGATTCTACGTACAAAGATTGTTGGAGGATGCTGCCACCCAAGATCCATAAGTGGGTGGACAGTTAGTACATAGCATGAAACTTGGATCTCGAATCTCTCATAAACTTTGGCTTTCTTTGATGACCCAAAGTTGAACAACACAAGCCTTGACCAACCTGGTGGCGATCTCTAGTAGTGACTGAACATCTGCTGGCAAATCTGGTTAACATTTCCTTTGTTGACCACACTCCACAGGAAACCATGGTCTCCACTTTGGAAACGTTATGTAAAGTGAACTTCCACAGCAGCAGCTATGCACTACACCGAAAAGCACAATAGCCATGATGTCATCTCCAGCAACATATGATAGATTTATTCCCTTTGCAATTGAGACAAGATCCAGTAGTATCTATGGGTGAGGTTTCTCCCAACAAGAGCGCAGGCAGTGAAGCTACCCTGCACTGTGAACTTTTCTCCCCAGGGTTATTGCGATGATCCAATAATGATGTGTTGCTCTTAAGAGCATGGAAACAGAGTCTGACTATGGGCCAATGTCCAGAATGTCCTGTTCAAAGCAAACTCGACAATGTATTTCATAGACGCTTGTTTGGGACAATATGCATCTTCACTCCAAATGACCAAGTCAACTCGCCTGAGGTGCATCACCTCCTCCTTGCTTCTCTTCCTTCTCCTTCTTTTCTTGCTCTGACTCTGGTCTCTTTGTCAAAATCTCGTCGATAACGCCGAGTTCTAAAGCCTCCTCAGGAGACAAGTATTTATCCCGTTCCATCAGATCATTAATCTCCTCGAGAGAATACTTTTCATGACCTTTTGCCTTGTTGAGATGGTACTGCATGATTCTATTCGATTGTTCCCGTGTTTTCTGGATCTGGTTTGCGTAAATCATGATATCGGATGCTTGGCCTCGAGTGCCACCCAGCGGTTGATGGATCATAATCGAGCTGTGGGGAAGAGAGAATCGCTTGCCCGCCTCACCTCCCGCGAGGAGGATTGCAGCCATTGACGCAGCGCCACCGACACACACTGTTGACACTGGTGACTTGATGTATGTCATGGTATCGTAGATCGCCATTCCTGTGCCCCTTGTGAGCCTCGATTGTAAATTGGTTACCGGTCGAACGTACCTGAGGTGACGGAACCACCAGGAGAGTTGATGTACATCGTGATCGGCTTATCTGGGGTATCGGACTCGAGCCAAAGCAGCTGTGAAACGATCGAAGCAGACATGTAGTCGTTAACTTCACCATTCAGGACGACGATGCGTTCCTAGAACCATTAGTAACGATAGCTCGAGGACTAGAGCTTGTCCTTACCTGTAGGAGCTTGGAAAAGATATCCCCTATAACCCATCAGCTTCTTGAATCATTTGTGATACCAATTCAAACGAACATGTTTTTCTCCCGGCAGCCTGGAATTGTTAGCTGCGCGCATGCAACAAACTGGACTCAGGCAGCTTACCGACGACTCCTCGATGTAGGGCATGGGAATGTTGCCCCTTGGTGACATTGGCGAGTTTCCGGAAGAACCGGAGAAGCCAAAAGCTCTCACATGTTGTTGCGACACGCCGCGCAACACGCGCAACGTTCGTGGCCGCAGAAACATGATCACGAATGTATGAGAACGGTGATGTAAGTTTACGGACCGGGGCCGGGCGGAAGTGGTGGGGGGATGGAAGCTACGAAGCTGGGGCTCTTATCGATAAGGATCCGACCATGGGAGAAATTTAGCTGTTCATCGAACGCTTTGCGACAAGCATCACATCACAAGTCGACGATGAGTTGGTTATAACACCACGAGCACCATGAAGAGATACACGAAGGCCTGCGCTGGCCATTTTAGAACGTCTGGGTCACCGATCAATTGCCAAACACGATGGCTTTCTTACGACAAATCCGAATTGAGCAAAACGGCCCTCTTGAACCAGATCGAATCAGAACTTGACCGAATGGCGAGCGGCAAACGAGCGAGAATCCATCCTGAAGACAAGACTGTAGACACAGATGCTGGAAGATTACCGATATCTCCCGTGATGGACTACAAGTTCATGCAGGCGAGACGACGTACGAAGAAAGCGATGCCCACAGCCATTTCAGGACAATTTCGGAAGAAGCTATCAAATAACCCATACGCTGAGGCATTGATGGGTCCGACAAGATGGTGCAAGAACACGAACGCTTGCCTACCTAGATACTTCTTGCAGGACTTCGAATTGGTCGAGCACCCAGATCCTGAGGAGAAGAGCCAATGGTGGGCACCAGGCCCATTTTCTTTCTTAAGAGTCAAGCCGAAAAGAGAAGAGCGAGAGGTGGAGATGGAGTCCAATGACTTGAAATCAATATGGAAGGGGATTGAACGGGTGCGGAGGCAGATCGGACTCGTACAAACCGAAATCGAAAAAATGGCTACAGAATCCCAAACAACGCCGACCCAAGCAATACCAGGAGACGCAGGTGTCGAAGCTGAGGCAAGCACAGAAGTAGACGTTGAGGATGCGGAAACGGACGAGGGACTGATAGAACGACGAGCACGCATTGTCGCCTACACTCTCGCGCGTAAAAGTGTAATCGATATGATCGGAGGAGTCAATGGAAGAAAAGGTAGCAGGGGTTACCAAAAAAAGATGAATTCCCACCAAGGTATGGCACACCTTGAACATGATGTTGAACGAAAGATCTTTCGAGCGGACATGGGCGATGTACTTCTCGGGATGATGCGACGGGTGGCTGTTGATACACTCATCACACGCTCTTGCAGGGAAGATTTATGGGCACCACACAAATTCATAAGGCCAGTTGCCAGCTGGGAAGAGGCGAAGAACATCCCAGGAGGTGGAGCAATTCTCTATATTCCGAAGGAGGATATGAAGGACATAAACAGTTATGCGACTCTTGATGTAGCAGATGCTTCTTATGGCAATAAGATGGCAGTTCATGATCTGCGATACTTGCTGGAAGAAGAAGAGGTTGAGAGGTTGAGAGAGAAGTCACAGATATTCCGAGACCATGAGATTTTGGTGTTGAAGAACTTTAGAAGTGGAAGCATGCGAGCTCTGCATTTGCTTCTTTGGAGACTGCAAGGATACTTGGCGTTGCCTCAAATTGGACCCATTGAGGGGAAGCAATTCTGAGGACTGTAAAATAGAAATGAGATACCATGAATGAACAATAAGATGAATTGTGTTGTCTGCCGTGTGATGTGATGTTTTGTCCGGCCGGCCTCCAATCACGGCCCGGCCCCGCAATTGCCGATGGCGCCAGGTGTCACCGCCGCCGATAGACTCCGAAGGTCAAAGATCCGATACGAGTTAGACTCGGTAGCACAGCGCTGTGGTTATTTGTTCGGTATCCGTGTATCGGACCTGCTAGATATCCGTTTGTTCTTTGCACTTATTTTTGAAGAATATTCTTTTGTTCTCATTTGAGCGAATTATTGTTCAGCATTTGATCGTTTGCACGATTTGATCTCAGCATACCTTCCTCGGTAAGGATCACGCTCAGCGAAGTTCTTACTCTCACTCACCAAACACAACTCAAGAACCAAGCACGACCAAACTTGCAACTCAGAGGATCAAATCAGCATTGGACATCGACCATGGACACAAACCCTGAAATAGTCCAGCCTGCGGACTGGCAGACCGGTGAAGCTGTCCCAGTCTTTCTCATCCACGATGGCGGCGGCACCACATTCTCGTACCACTGTTTAGAACCTCTCCGTCGTCCAGTCTACGGCATCTACAACCCCAAATTTCACAGCGGCGAGCCTTTCGACGGCGGCCTCAGCGACATGGCCCGTCTCTACACAGGCTGGATCAAAGAAACTGTCGAAAAGCCCGACTTTCCCAGACGTCGCAACGCAGCTGGAAAGATCCGACTTCTTCTTGGCGGATGGAGCATGGGCGGCCACTTGAGTCTCGAAATCGCAAAGCAGCTTGAAGATTCCAACATCGACGTCATTGGAATTCTCATGGTCGACACAATCTATCCACACAGGTTCTCTAGTGAAAAGCGCAAGATGCCCAGCGAAGACTCCAAGGAGGGAAAGAACAAGAACCAGATTCTGGCAGATCTAGCTATGGCTGATGCACGCCGTATGATTCAAGCTTGGACACCTCCGGCCTGGGAGGCAGGACGTCGGCCCCGGGTTAGTCTCCTCCGGGCCAAGAAGGCCGTGCCCTCGCCGGACGGGACGGATCTCGTGGACTGGAGCCGTGAGGAGCGGAATCTGGGGTGGGATATGTACGACAAGGACTTTTTTGCTGATGTGGTGGATATCGAGGGACATCACTACGAGGTTTTCAAGTTTGAGTTTATTGAGGATATTTCGCAGAAGATGAAGAAGGCACTGGATGATTTGGAGTGGGTTGCCTTGGACGGTTGAATGTCCAGTGAGACGAGAAGGTCAAGATCGGACTTTGAAGCTTTAGACGAAGACATGGTAATTGGTTTGACTGTTTATGCGGGTTGGCACTGATGGTTATTAGAATACGAATGAGACTTGTTAGAATTAGTTAGAGAGTACAAAAGTCATAGAAATTATGAAGATACATTCAGAACATTGAACACTTCAATGATACAGCAGGGGTCCGTGTGTTCCGCCGGTGTCGCTCTGAGCTGTTGACAGGAATGACAATATCATGCATTCTCTACTCAACATCGACAACCTGAACTTAAGACAAAAACAGCATCCAAATGTAATTACAGAAACTCTTACGAAGAGGCCGGATCCTCGGCATCATGGACGATCTTACATTGCATCCGTAGCTTCAATCAGACGAGTTCAGTGGATAACTCTATTCAAAGTGGATTCCAACGCTTAAGCCTCCTCCGGACTTGAAGCACCTCCCCCGAAGAACCATCTCCATGAGGTCACCCAACCAATCAAAACACTCCAATTGTCATGCGGGGAGCTCTTCACACCCTGGGCTGGGGACGTCTCCCCTCGCCTCTCCCAGTCACAGGGAAGATCACAGGGACTAAATTTTGGGAAACAAAACCACAGCCGACATCGCAAGCCAGAAAAAGTCCACAAACTCATCCCACCGCTTTTACTCAGGCGTCGGACTCTTCTTCTTACCCAATTTGAGTTTGTGGTTGAAGCTTCAATTGACGTTTTTCTTTTCTTTTCTCCTTCGCACGTGAAAAAGATTAAACGTCGTCATTATGCTTTCTAGGTCGTTGTTGAGGTCTAGAGCAGTGGGAGCTTTCCCCCTCTCTGCGAGGAGCAATGGGTGAGTTATTCCATCTCGAACAATCAATTGGAAGCTCAATTATCTTCCGAATACTGACTCGTTACAGCCGCTTCTTCTCCGCCTCTGCCCTCCGCGCCGATGACAAGATCAACAAGGTCTCCGCCAACATCACCCAGCCCAAGGCCCAGGGCGCATCCCAGGCTATGCTCTACGCCACTGGTCTCTCAGAGGATGACATGAACAAGGCTCAGGTTGGTATCTCGTCCGTTTGGTACGAGGGCAACCCTTGTAACATGCACCTCATGGACCTCTCCGCCATCGTCAAGGAGTCCGTCGCCAAGGCTGGCCTTATTCCCTACCGATTCAACACCATTGGTGTCTCTGATGGTATTTCCATGGGTACAACTGGTATGCGATACTCGCTCCAGAGCCGAGAGATTATCGCCGATAGTATTGAGACTGTCATGAATGGTCAGTGGTATGACGGAAACATCAGCTTGCCTGGCTGCGACAAGAACATGCCCGGTGTAGCCATTGCAATGGGCCGTGTCAACCGTCCCAGTATCATGGTCTACGGTGGTACCATTCGTCCCGGCTGCACCAAGCAGGGCGAGTCCATCGATATCGTTTCTGCTTTCCAGGCCTACGGTCAATACATCACCGGTGAGATCACCGAGGAGCAGCGATTCGACATTATCCGAAACGCCTGCCCTGGTGGTGGTGCCTGTGGTGGCATGTACACTGCCAACACCATGGCCACCGCCCTTGAGACTCTTGGTCTCACTCTTCCCGGCAGCAGCAGCAGCCCTGCTGAGGATCCTAGCAAGAAGGCTGAGTGCGAGAGCGTTGGACCTGCTATTCGCAACATTCTCAAGGAGGACATTCGACCTCGGGATATCATGACCCGCCAGGCCTTCGAGAACGCCATGATTGTCACAACCATCCTCGGTGGCAGCACCAACGCTGTCCTGCACCTTATCGCCATTGCCGACTCTGTCGGTATCAAGCTCGACATTGAGGACTTCCAGAAGGTTTCCGACCGCACTCCCTTCCTTGCCGACCTGAAGCCCTCTGGAAAGTGGGTCATGGCCGATATGCACAAGATTGGCGGTACTCCCGCTCTTCTCAAGTTTCTGCTCAAGGAGGGTATCATTGATGGCTCTGGTATCACCGTCACCGGTAAGACCATGAAGCAAAACGTCGAGAACATGCCCGGCTTCCCTGAGGACCAGACCATCATCCGACCCCTGAGCAACCCCATCAAGCCCACCGGTCACATCCAGATCCTCCGCGGTTCTCTCGCCCCTGGCGGCTGTGTCGGTAAGATCACTGGTAAGGAGGGTCTCCGATTCGAGGGTAAGGCTCGCGTCTACGACTCTGAGCCCGATTTCATTGCCAGCCTCGAGGCTGGTGAGATCAAGAAGGGGGAGAAGACCGTTGTCATCATCCGATATGACGGTCCCAAGGGTGGTCCCGGTATGCCTGAGATGTTGAAGCCTTCCTCTGCCATCATGGGCGCCGGTCTCGGAAAGGACGTTGCTCTCCTCACTGACGGTCGCTTCTCCGGTGGTTCTCACGGTTTCATCATTGGTCACATCGTCCCTGAGGCTATGGAGGGTGGTCCCATCGCTCTCGTTGAGGACGGTGATACCATCGTCATCGACGCCGAGACCCGTGCAATCGATCTTGTCGTCCCTGAGGAGGAGGTTGCCCGACGTCGCAAGGTCTGGAAGGCTCCCGCCCCTCGATACACCAAGGGTACACTGAGCAAGTACGCTCAGCTTGTGAGGAACGCCAGTGAGGGCTGTGTCACCGACAGCGGTCTCAAGAACTAAAAAAAGGCTCACGAAAGCCAAAAGAAGTGTCAAATGTAACGATGTAATTCCTGTTTAATGGGGTGGGAAAAGGCGAATTTAGATTTTTCTGGGTCAGAACTTATATCCCAATGTTTTTTTCGTTCTTAATGCTTTCGAAGCGCCTCCTCGCTGATACGTGAAAATGCTCTGGGCTGACAAGTCTACCTAACAAGCTATAACGCAGAATGCGTATCTTGAAACAACCAGAAAAAGACCAACCGCAAGAACACAACGCAAACCCACGAATGATTGTGGATATTAGGCCGACTGAACAGAATGACCTCCAATAGCTCCTTGCAATGCAAACTCCAAACTCAAGTTTACTTCAAACGAAGGAATACTCTGCTGATAATATCAACCCTAGATGGTCCAACTCTTCCATAAGTATTTTATTTCTTTCCGCTCAAAGCGTCCACGAAGGCCGCCTTATCCTTCATTGTAAGTCCAACCCGCTTGACACGGCTTAGTCTTGCGAGTGCCTCGCCTACTCGATCAAGAACACGCTGCTCGTCTGGGGAGACACTGGGACTAGCATCACCGCGGTTGCGTAGCTCTGACGAGGAAGGTGTTACACCGTTTGTCTTGGCGGCAGAGGTGTTGATCTGGCCTTCAGCAATGCGCACACGAATGCACGTCGTTGGTCGAGAGAGGAGATCCCACAAGAAGCGGAACCACTTTCCAGGCACTGGTGTCGTAATGTCGGAGGGCGTGTATCGAATGCTAACAGGGAAGATATGGACGTCGGCTGGAGTCTGAAGGATGCTCGGGCTGAAAGGCAGAATAGCCTTGCCATTGGTGGTACCACATTCGGGGAAAACAGCAATGACCTGTCCAGGGTTGCTGTCCAGAAGATCCTTGATCTCGACTAATTTCGCATTTTTAGGGGGGCCAGTCTGCACAGGCGAGAGAGCTGCCAGAACAGCACCCAGCAAGCTCACACGCTGGACCTTGCGAGTATCAGGGTACGAAATGGTAAAGATCGGGTCGAAGATAGCAGCGAGGTAGATAGCATCGATAGGACTCGAGAAGTTGGCAGCGATAACTGAGCCAGGGTGCGGGAAACGCTCGCGGGGTTGGTCGGCAAGGGTGCCACGTTTGACACCGTCGAGCTGAAGGTCAACCCACCATATTCCCGGTATGGCCATCAATCCCCATAGTGCGACCTTTCGAAAGATAACTGGCAGCGGGAGGAAGTGGAAGAAGAGGAAGTAGCCGAGGAAGTAAGCGATGAAGAATGGGAGGCGGAAGAGGAAAAGAGCGGCGTGTGTGAATGTCGCGAGCGCTGATACGGGCGTAGAAACGGGAAGAAACGGCGCAATGCCCGTTGCTACAAATGATTAGCATGTGAATATTATTAATCCGCGGGAGACTTTACCTCTGTCGCGAAATTGGCTGTATTTTTCCATATTGTTGGTGATCGTGTGTAAGACAAGGACAAAGAGGACGAGCGGAGGGGTAAAGCTATCGAGACATGGAAGAGCTTGGGAGCTATCTCTTTATGTTATGTTGCCAGCGACGTATGATGAAGGCGATTCGGAATATCGTAGCAAGGACTAATGAGACGGCGTTGCGAGGTCAGGTTCTGCGACAGCGCATCTACTGAACGTCATGTCATGGATCGAGGGTGACATGTGAATGTGAATGTTAATATGTGGCCCCCACGTTAGGTTGGCTTGTTCTCGCGAAACGTTGTGCGCTGAGTCAGCGAGACAGCGACGTTTTTAGGTTAGATCTTATTGTTACACGACTCGATATGTCTCTGGGAAAAGACTTCAATGATTAATTGATCTGTTTAAACCGTCTTGTAACTTCTACCTCAATGGACTGCCATGTCATTTCTCGCAAATAAAAGGGTGGGTGACAAGGATCAATTACTGGTAACAGAAGAAGCTTGAGTTTATGGTGGAGTGATGACTTGGCATCCTTCAAAGCTCCGACGAGTTCGGAGCCCGATATTTTTGGCACCGTCATATCTTCCATGATCTGAAAACGATATGCTGACTGTGTAGAATCAAGGACAAAAGCTTCTTGTCAATTGCAATTATGTTTGACCTATTTGTACGGGTCTTGGAAGTAGCTTCATTGGGAGCCCGGTTCTCTACTTATACATCTCTTCTGAGCTTTGTTCCAAGACCAAGAGCTTAGAGGGCTGGCCTCTTGGATTGGGTTTTTCTCAAAATGAATTTGTTACGAGCTCGAGGTACAGTTGAAGGTGCCAGTGGATGAGAAACTCATTGGCACTTGAACACAATTAAATAAACTCAAGCCCTGGCGTGAAGCGTTGAAGACGTTTTGGCATTGTCTGCAGCATGATGTATATGCCAGAATGCTACAGCCACTACGATAAGAGGAAGAAGTCGCTGCACAAGAGTATTGCCAATTCATCAATAATATTCTTTACAAGGGTCGCATTCTGTAAAGCGCAGTTATCCTACCTCTCATGTTGCAACACGGCTCATTGGCTGGTGGGGTATCTCCAAATGCGACTCGGACCCATTGCCCCAGCAACGTGTTTACATAAACAAGTAAACGCTTCGAATCGCCAATCTCCAACCGAGCTATCCCGCATCAGGCTCTTCACGAAACCAACCATAATATCACGTAGCTCCCCATGAGCTAGAGACAAAGCGTGTACTGATACCATTTTGCTTTCTACGCTAGGTACTCTTTTTTATCCTTCGCATATTCGCAACGCCTCCTGCTACCGCCGTTTACACTGGTGCTTCGCTGCTCCTTGATTTCCATATCCTGGTGCCTGTGTTTGGGCGCATTGTTTTCACCATGGAGGAGAATCCGGTACGTTGTTTACCTAGTGCCCTCATGTTTCAGAAGCTGATGATTCTTGGGTGTAGACATTCAGGAGCTCCAAGATTAGTCGACTGCCGGCACCGTCGATGTCGATGTCAATAGGGGCTGCGGGGGGTGGACTCACGGAATGGAGCGAATCGCAACATAATGCCCGCATTGCGTCGACGGCAAGTTCATTATCGGCTCTGAAGAATCTGAAGCGAGAGATTCCTCAACCAGGTACGCACGACGAACACTTATGGTGGTTCTCTCTGACATAAAGCAGCATCACAATCCGACCCGAAGCGTAAACCTCTTTCTGATCGCGCCCTCGAATATCCTTCAAAGCCGACATCGCATGTTCCCGCCGCGGCCGGTGTTAGGTCAAATATGAGGCCCCAGAGTTTAGCCGGAATGTCCTCCGGGGTGAGTCAAGATCCTTTGCGCCCTCGTTATTAGAGGGCTTGCTTCTGCTGGACATTACAATCGCATGACAGCTGCTAATTCTCCCTAGCTCAAGCAACCCTCGGCCACCCAGTCACGGTACGGCGCATCTTCCAATGTCTTCAGCAGAAACCAGGCCGCTCGAAACGGTGCTCCGACAGCCACATCACGAATCAATGGAGTCAACGGCGTCAATGGAGTCAATGGGGTCAACGGACGTCCTGGCCATGCCCGTTCGAAGAGTCAAGCGCCTCGGCCGCGAACGGCCCATGCTCTCCGCGAAGAAGACCGATACGAAGCTCCAACCAACAATGGTACGACGACACTTTCGCAAGATACATCTCAACCTATCACCACACTTCCCTACAAAAAGATCAGAACCTCACAGTCTTTCGCAACATTACCAACAATCAGAGATAGTTCTCTGACTTCGAGATTCCTTGAAATGAGTCTTGAGGACGAAACACCAGCTGGAAGTCAAGCGATTTCCCGTCCCTTAACACGACAGTCTTCACAATCTTCAACCACCTCACATATTTCTAATATTCCATGCAAGCGCCGTGGTAGAGATGACCCAAATAACATGTCAGCCTCAACCTCTCAACAGACTTCGTCAGAGCGGCCTTAGGCAGTCCCTCTGAAGCCACCGAGCAACGAGAGAGTCAAGAGGAAGCTCAATGAATTTGAAGAGTCCCTGTCTTTATCGCCAGTCAAACAATTCACATCACCCGTCAAGAACACCTCTCCTAGCAAGTCGTTTTTGAACAAAGATTCTAATCTAACATCATATGTAGCCTGGGACGTTGATGGCCGAGTAGTTGATATGGAGTCTCAATTCAAAGAGCTCAAGGAGATGGTAAATACCACCCTGAGCGAACGAAAGGGACAAGACGATGCTCTTGAACTTGCCAAGAAGCGAGGTAAGTAGTATCGTGGGTTGGGATGTCCAGCTACTAATCAAGACTACAGTGCAAGAGTTGGAGGGTGACAGAGAGAAACTTGACCTGAGGAACGATGCACTCAAGTCCGATCTTGACGCAGCAAGAGAAGAGGGACGCCAAATCCGACATGAGATGGAAAAACAGAAGTGGGAATACCAACGACAAGTGGATGACCTGGAACGGAAGCACCGAGAAAGGATCGACGATATGTCAAGACAGCACAGAACAGCAGTCGACGAGCTTCGAAGGGAACTGGACCGACTGAAAGAGCAAGAGACGAAAGACCATGAGCAAAAGATCGAAAGTCTGACAAGAATGTACCATCAAGAGCTGGCCGAAGAGCGACAGAAGAAGGACCGCGAAATCCAGGAACTACGACTTCGAATGGGCAATGAGCATCAAGACATGGGAATAGCCATCCAGAGGAAGGACCGGGAACTTCAAGAAGTCAACTCTCAAGTGGAAGGCCTTCGAGGAGACTTGGAGCGGGAGCGTACATTGAAGAACAGCCTGCAGACCAACATCGCCGAACTATCAGCAGCCAACACAACTCTCGAGGCCAAGATCAACTCACTAAAATCGCACGTCGAATTTCTGGAATCTGACAGTAAGGCACAATCCGACTCCTTTTCCAGCATGGAAGCGCGTCTACAAGAAGCTCTGCGCATTGCAGAAGAGGCCCAACACAAACTCATCAAGGAGGAGACGGAACGCCGAGTACTTTTCAACAAGTACCAGGAGCTCAAGGGCAACATCCGAGTTATGTGTCGTGTGCGACCTGCACTTGGAAATGGTGAGGGCGAGGAGGCCAAGATGTTGTTCCCCGATGACAAGACATCTGCTGAAATTGTTCTGGCCGGCCCTGAGGAGAAGAGTAGTTTGGGACAGATCACACGAAAGAACTATCCCTTCGAGTTTGATCGGGTTTTTGTTCCTGGCACTCAAAACCAGGAGATCTTTGGTGAGATTTCTCAGCTTGTCCAGAGTGCTCTTGACGGATACAATGTTTGTATCTTCTGTTATGGTCAAACTGGATCCGGAAAGACACACACCATGTCCTCAAACGACGGTATGATCCCTCGTGCCACCCACATGATCTACGACACCATTACCAAGCTCAAGGAGAAGTCTTGGGAGTACACAATGGAGGGTTCATTTGTTGAGGTGTACAACGAGGAGCTCAACGACCTGTTGACGCCAAATGAGCGATCGGCGAAGAGGCTCGAGATTCGGCATGACGAAGCTCGCAAGCAGACAACCATCACAAACTGCACGTCAGTCCGTCTCGACAGCCCGTCAAGTGTGGAGACGATGCTTGAAGAAGCGCAGAACAATCGATCAGTGGCTGCCACCAAGGCCAACGAGCGATCATCCCGTTCTCACAGTATCTTCATCCTGAAGCTCATCGGAGAGAACTCAGCTACAGGGGAGCGCTGCGAGGGCACGCTCAACCTGGTCGATTTGGCTGGTTCCGAGCGCCTCAAACATTCACAGGCTGAAGGCGACCGTATGAAGGAGACACAGAACATCAACAAGAGTCTCAGCTGTCTCGGTGATGTTATTGAGGCCCTTGGTCGAGGTTCAGGACACATTCCATACCGCAACTCCAAGTTGACACACTTGCTACAGTACAGTTTAGGCGGTAACAGCAAGACCCTAATGTTTGTCATGGTGTCGCCTCTTGAGCAGCACCTGAAGGAAACATTGACGAGTCTTCGATTTGCAACAAAGGTATGTCTAATCTTTCCAGGTTTCGCAAGTGCAATACTGACAGGAATAGGTGCACAACACTCATATTGGTACAGCCAAGGCTACCAAGAAGGTTCGCGATTCTACATAGGCAGGGCCGTTGTACAAGCCGTCGATCAAGAACAAGGAGGTCGCACGTCAATAATGGGGTTGTGTTTATTTTGTTGCTTTTGAGCTGGGTCATCAGGATAGCGTCTGGAACAGAGCATCCAGAGCAGGGAGTTGGGGTGCATATATGATTGAGCGCTGTCGCCTTACCTACTGACCTTGGTACAAGGCCAGCTTATGATGTGTTTGTTAGGCGAGCAAGGCCATTGATTGATTTCTGGACATGGGATTGGTAGTGGAAGCTGGTTGAGCTAGCTGTGTCGATACGTGGAGATTGTATATATCAATACAAATATGGTTACGACAGGGATCCATGATCATTACTAACAAGAAGTATGTTTCGTGTTGGTGATGATTTCTTGGTGTTGTTTCAGGGCGTTTGTTTGGTGCAGCCAACCGTTAACCGCCGATGGATTGGCCAATCAGGCACTACGAATCCCAGGCCGTCAACCACGGATTGAGTTGAGCGTTGTTCTCTTTCATCTTGCACTTTCACGTTCATTCATAATCTCATTCTTTCCTTTGTTCGCCACAGCATATAATTCATAGAGCTAACCAACAGTTTGTCATTCTAAATCGCACCTGAGACGCATACATTGAGTTGGTGGTTACGAAACTCACGGGCTAGTGCCTTGCTTCATTGTGACATTCGGCCTCACGGAACGAGTTGAGAAAGTAGCCCTCCACTGGTGGGCATATGAGCCTAAGAGAATCTGTGGAAGCTGTTCGAGCAATTGAAAGCTCCAATTGTGCGCTTCTATGCTCATCTGCTTTACATTCACTCACGCGGCATCTCGCTCATGACAATTCCTCACCCTCACAAATCAGCATCATATCTTCTTCGACATCGAAAAGCGATATGTCCAAAGCACCAACGGGTCTTCAAGACTCAATCTGGGCCATAAACGGGCGCTCCCGCCTCGCAAACTCAGCTCCTTCAACGCGCTCATCTTCACAGCCTGTAGCACGCGCATCCTCTCAACCTTCACGCCCCCCACCCTCCTCAGCCCCTCCAAGAAACCCGGTTTCGATAACAACATCGACTACGCGCTTGAACCCAACACAGGCTTTTCACCGCTTCGAACAAGCCTGTCAGCGTTTACGGTGGAAGTACATCGATTTACAAACTTCGTACCACCGCGCGTTAAACCCAGAGGAATTTGGGTTCTTGGTCACAGACGCGGAGCGTAACTTTAAAGTTGACTTTCATGAGTTTTACGCATGGATTGAACAAGCGCTTGTTCTTCTCCTCATGGTTTTCGGTATATCAGTATCGCGCGGCAATTTATACAAAACGGGAAATCACACATATCACGAAAATGTGCTCACGGAGCTAGAAATGCCAGATTGTCCGGTCCACGAGGCGCTAGGGAGAGGCGAAGTGAACCAAGCCCTTCGTAAGGCGAAAGAGCTTCGGAATCGTTGGAAGGACGTTACTGAGGGCAAGGAAACGCCGCCGCTGAAGATGTATGATCTGACGTGGCTTGTTGGACAGATCTTGGGAGGGTTGGAGATTGGGTATGGCATTGCGGCGGGGAGGATGCAGGAGGCGACAGAGAGACAGTGGGATGATGGTGATGAACATATGGGCATGGGAGAGGTTCAGGGGGATGATGAGTGGGAGTGGATGGTTGAACCGATGGATTGGGAGGTTGCGTAGCGATACTATAAGTCTTTGGATGATGAATTGGATGCTGGAGTGAATATGCATGGCGTAAGAAAGATATTCGTCATCTGTAGACATCTCAAGTACTTTTAATGAACCATAGAGGAGTTTATCGCTCATGATGCAGCATGTCAAGGGCTTCATGCATGGACTGGCATCTTTCACGCTAAGGAGCATTTGTAAAACCACCCCGTTGTATTTTCTATCAATTATCTACCCCCATCAAATGCCAATACCAAGGTAAGTATCCCATACAAATAAAGGCCCTTTCAAATAAGTAGAAAGACATCAAGTCATTCAAAAGAAAGAAAGAAAAAGAAAGCATAAAATGCTATTACATCTCCTCACTACTAGAAACCCCATCGCTTACGAACGTAACCTGGCTCACGGTACGAAGGAGGCTCGTAAGCAGGTGGTTCGTACTTGGGTTCCTTGACACCAGTAGTGGTAGAAGGCTCCTCGGTGGCCTTGCTTGTGGTAAGGAGAGTGGTGAAGCCAGTTGCCGCGTCAGCGGTCGAGGCGAAAGAAGCAGAGGGCCAGGCGTCGTTAGAGCTGGGTCCGAAATCGTAGCCTTGAGGACCGGTTGACTCTGCAGAAGGCAGTGGTGCTTCGATGGGTTGTGAGGGAGTGGCGCTCTCGGAGTCTGTTTGAGCAGCGGTGGACTCGATGGGGATGAACTCAGTAGGAAGAGTAGTCTGGACTCCAACAGCCGTCTCACTCGTGCTCTCAATATATTCTGAAGTGGACACTCCAGCTTGACCCTCTGATGTCTCGGCACTAGGAGCTGTAGTCTGCTCGATCACTTCGGACGTGGCAGAGGTATACTCAGATGCGAGGGAAGAAGCCGACGTGAAGGATCCAGCCAAAGCAGAAGAGTCAACGCTTTGATCGGCGGTGCTGTGGATGATGGTGGTGTTGTCGTAGATGTGAGTGTGCTTGGTCGACGTGCACGGTGCAGTGGTGGAAATCTCAGCTTCAGTTGTGAGAGTAGACACTCCAGCAGCGGTGGACCCAGCAGTAGGAACGGATACACTTGAGCTCACACCCTCAGTTGAAGCAGGGCTTTGTCCAGTCTCAATACTAGCACCTCCAGCTGAAGAGGATGTGTTCATGGCCTCAGTGACCTCCTCAGATGTGGATACCTCCTCAGAAGCAGTGTAGACAGTCGAGATGCTCTCCGTGAGTGTAACCTGACTGGTGATAACCGACTTGAGTGTAGTCGTTGGGACTTCTTCAGGGATAGTAGAAGCGCCAGTGTCTTCGGGGAGGGTAGAGCTGCCTTGCTGAGAGACGTAAGTCTCGGTTCTCAAGCCCTCAGTTGAGATCGACACTGTATCGGAGGGAGCAGACTCAGAAACCTGTTCAGTTGTGCCCTCAGAGATTGTTGTAGACTCTTCGCCCTGCGGGAACTGGGTAGTGCCAGGTGCAAGAGCAGAAGAGTCAACACTCGGGGCAAAGGTAGGTATGGTCTCCAGGTTGCTGACGATATCGGAAGTCGCCTCCAAAGTGGCAGTGCTGGTTGAGTATCCGTACACGGTAGACTCCAGCTCAGATGAAGTCCCTCCAGCGAGAGCACTTGACCCAATGGACACATCCGGCTGGGAGACGACACTGGAAGTCTCAGGGGTAGAGGTGTAGGAAGCAGAAGTGTTGGCGAAGATGCTGGTAGAAGGAATAGAAACAGTAGGGAGGGAGATGACGTTGGTGAAAGTCTCAGACTCAGACAGGATAACCGAAGAACCAGTCGGAAGCTCGATACCAGAAGAAGTGCCAAGGTACTGGGTAGAAGTACACTGAGAGACGGTAGTGTAGCAGGAGAGAGCACACTCAGTCACTGTAGCCTCAGCACGAGGATAGAACCTCAAGCCAGCGGAGGGACAGCTGGTGACGGTGTCAGTGACTGTAGATGTCTCTGTCACTGTCACAGTCTCCTGTGCACACACAGCCAGTGCCCTGTACTAGTCAGTATCCATCCCAGCCGAGAGACAATAAGAAACACTTACCAGAGCACCACGAGGGTGAGGCGAGCGAGGAAAGACATGTTCGGAAAAGCGAAGATTCCAGAAGCGACTGTATTGAGAATACGGCAAATGAGTTGAACAGAAAAAAGCGAATGACAAGAAGCGCCAAATAATTTCCAGTGGTCTCACTCTGAGGATTTTCCCTCTCCTCAAAGTCTTGCTTCATCTCGACTCTTTATACCTCTCATTGAGGCCTCGCACGAGTTTACCAATCCCCTGATGCCGCATCCATGCCGTGGTACCGGGAAGACCGCGATGCTATTATTAAGGAGATGTGTCTATCCGCTCTGTATGTTTCGTCTAGCCGTCTAGGAGATTATTCTACCCGTTCCGTTGGTTGACTGACTTCGGGTTCCGGCAATGCCATTGTGTTGGAGGTTTTTGTTTGCTTGTTTGCTGAAGGGGCCGTACCGTGGCGACGGGAGTCGTTACGGTTTCTGATGCTTCAGCCCGTTTGTAGTTCCCGCGAGGTCAAAAGAGGCGGATAGATTTGGGATTATGTGAGTTGGCAGAGTGAAGCGGGTGAATCAGTATAACGTCTCACTGTCACATCCAGCGACAACGTATAATACAAGACTTTACCATCTTCTGCAAAAGTTCTTGATGCAAATCGATCTCTACTTCCGATCGTGCGGGAATGTGAAGCTCACCCATGCATGGATACCGTAACACAAACACGACACAAGCTTCATATTTACAGCTGAACAAAACAGATCCGGAAATACACAAGAAAAGCTTGTACCGAGATACAGCGGCATTGTAACTTGCATTCATGGTGTCACAGTGATTTCACGATAGGCTGCCTCAGACCGCTTTTCGTTGGTGTGTGTGCGCATTTAGACGTGTGGCGTAGATAGACCTGCATACGGCAGCCTGCATATTCCTTGGTGAAATTGCACAGAACGCAACGGGCTCAGGAAAACGGGCTTTGGCGGTCAGGTTTAAAACAGAGATAGACAGGGCACGGCGTCCTGCTGCACGAGTCAGATGCATGGGTAGCCACCCGAGACTGAGTGTCACGAGTAGAGCACGTTGCCATGGTGTTTGGAGGTTTCACAGCATATTGAGAGGAAAAGCTTGAGACTGGGTTTTTTTTTCCTATTGTTTGTGCTAATTCGACGGGGTGAGTATGCTGATCACAATAGCTTTGTGTCCTTTGTGATATCATCGTTGGTTAGATGGAGGCGCGGAGGACTTTGAAGGCGTCCTCGCGGGTACCGGAGTATCGAGCCTCAGCAGTCTTCCAGTTGATGACGTTCCAGATGTTGTCAACGTAGGCAGCCTTGCCGTTAAGAT